TACGGAGTTTGCGCTGACACTACATAGAGCGTCCATACTCGCAAACGTCATGTGGGGTGGGACGGGAACATTGCTGATGGGTGATTGAAAGTGATTGCAACCGATAAGGGCTGAGAAGGTGCGTCAGAATGCAAAAGTCGTCAGTTCCGTTATGGAGTTTGCGCTGACACTACATAGAGCGTCCATACTCACAAGTGTTATGTGGGGTGGTCTCGGGACATTGGTGGCGCATGACTGAAAGCGGTAACAACAGATAAGGGCTGACACGATGCGTTAGATTGCAGAAGTCTTCGATTCTGTTACCTGGTTCGCATTGCACCAGAGCATCCATACTGACTAGTGCTATGAGGGATGGGACGGGAACATTGCTGATGGGTGATTGAAAGTGATTGCAACCGATAAGGGCCGATAAGGTGCGTCAGAATGCAAAAGTCGTCAGTTCCGTTACGGAGTTTGCGCTGACACTGGAGCGTCCCTACTCGCACGTGTCATGTGGGGTGGGGTAGGGACACTGTTGGAGGGTGACTGAAAGTGACTGCAACGGATAAGGGCTGATAAGTTGGGTTAGAATGCAAAAGTCGTCAGTTCCGTTATGGATTTCGCTGACACTAGAGCGTCCATACTCGCAAACGTCATGTGGGGTGGGACGGGGACACTGTTGGTGGGTGCCGAAACGAGGACACTTATAAAGACTGATAAGGCGCGTCAGAACGCAAAGGTCGTCAATCCCATTAGGTGGCTCGCGGTGACATTGAAGCGTCCCCACTTATAACCTCTCTCTGTAGTTGTACGTGCACAGTTTATTGACATGAGCAGCTTACTTAATAGAAGTCGATAAGCATTAGCTCCTCACTTATGTTGAAAGTGTATTTCGTTTCGTTCTGACCATGTGACTGACAACAAAAAATCCTATTCATCGCTAATTTATCTGAATTCAAGAGGAATGCTGGATGTTTACAGTTGTGAGATATACATACTAGTCCAGCTCCGGACGTTATCACGCGTGTGCTTGATGGAATTCGGCGAAATTGAGGAAGGTGTAACACATTTAATAGTGAGGTGGTTAACGCAGAACCTATGCTTATGATTCCATGTGTCCTCCTGTTTCGCTAAAGCCTGCCGCGGGATGCGCGCGATAGCGAGCGCAGCAGAACTGGTAATAGATAATATTTGTACATTTCTTTTACCATATATGCACACAAATCAATGGAGTATTTATATTCATCGCCCAGCATACAGTGGAGGGTGTGAACAGGTGCCCGCCACGCTGGCGACAAAAGAAGGCAATGCAATAGGTCGGTCATGGTTTCCCTTTATCAATACCAGAACCGGCTACGCATTGACTCCGCGGTGAACCTTTGTAATCCATGCTTTCCAAATCAGCTGCACATTCTGTTTTTCAATGTTTTCCTGCGTTTCTCTTTCCCAACGCATGACATTTCGCCGAACCGTCGTTCCTGCGTTGCTCCCATTTCCTACATATGAATCTTAATTCACTGTCACTTAAGAGTACTACTTCTGCACTGTCCCACAGATCAACGTGAACTCTTAACTACGCGGAATACCAAAGTCATGTTCGTCGAGAATCTACTCGTGTCTTGAAAATCGGTATCAACATGACCTGATGAGAACATGGTGGCTGCATTCAATACAGATCAATTTGTCGTGCTCCAAGATCTTGGACATGGTCAGGACCTGAAGTTGGGTGAGAGGCCGGAAGATAAATAGCATCGCTAAATCTCTTTAATCCTGCCTAGCCAGTTCTTAACTTGTCTGTGAGCTCTAATATAATAAGTCTTATTGACTGAGGTTTCAGGAAAGGAACTTCTTTTTCCTTTTGCTCACTTTATGCGAAAAAATCACTTACTGCTAATAGCATACACATCGCCAGCTCCGAATTAGTCTGCTTCAAACTTGCTTTCCAAGATCTGTACTTGTCTTTGAGGACACTTTAAGCGTCAATTCCCTAGTTGTCTTACAGGAGAAGCCGTGGTGCAGCCGATAGCTAAAATTTAAGACAAAATAAACAGGACTCTTGAAAAGCATTATATACCTTAGCAGGGTAAGTTGTAAGTTCTCTCAGTGTTTAAGACCAACCAAAGTGACCAAAAATGTTATCACACTAGCACTGCTCTTTCTACAATTTTTCACCGGCCTGTTGCAAAGAATAATACAGACCGCACTACAGAAGCGTATCTTATCAATAAAGGCCAAACTAACGGGATAAAAACCTCGCATTTATGAAAGTACCACAATCCAGATTTCACTATGAAGTACGCAGCGACATGGAGTTCCTTTAACGCCGGAACCTCCCTAGCTGCGTAAGCTTTTCGTTCCTCTCCTCCCCTTCCGTTGCTTTTCATCTGCCCATCCTGCAGCACTCATATGAATAGCAAGTGTTACGTTATAGACATGGGTGTTATTCCACAAAACCACGACGAAACATTGACAGGGCAACGCCGATCTGCCAATTTTCATTAAGTGCCTTCACAGTCATCCATTTTCGTACGGACGTCAGACAATCTTGCACACCAAACAAAACAAAACACCAGGCATGGTTTTATATAATGAAAAGATGTCGAGTGCTAACAAGCGGTGACGTTCAGAGCGGGTGTAGAGGCTTTCTCAGAACGTTGTTCTATGATTTATAGAGGATGTGACCTAGAGTACAGAACTGTGGATGCATTTCCGACTGTGTAGCCTTTGAATCCATAAAAAAGGTCGTGAGAAAGTGGTCCTTGGTTCGATTCCCTGGTCAACAGAATTTTTGCCACTGTGATTTGACGGCCACAAATTGACCAAAGGACTTCGCTCACCAGGAAATGATCTATAATATAATGGGCTTACAAAATACCCTTACAAGTGAGTAAATAATACGCGAAAACTGTTCAGTGAGAGAAAGTTGTGACGCGAAAACTTCACATGTTGCTCGAACAGCGCCATTAGGGGTCCGAAAATTGATGCGTAGCTAAAATTGAATGTCGTATCGCATATCAGGGCCTGATATTCTTGAGTTCAATCTTCCCAAAAAACCGAGATTTTGCCCACTGCTATCACCTGCTATTCACCTGTCGTCCCGGTTGATCGTCTATTTGCTCGAAGCGGGCGCCAGCAAAAGTCTCCATTCGTCCTGTCGCTGCTAGGAGTGGTCAGTTGGATTTCTCCTGCTCGAGGCACACGGAGTCCATCATTCCTTTCTCAGAGCTCTTGTTGAGAAGTGTGACATCGGCCGGCGTCGCCAGGTGTTCGTTTAGGTCCGAGGGCTCAGTCGGTAACGCTCTGGTCTAACGTACATCGCAAAAATCGCATGACGGTCCGGCCCACCTTATCTTCGATCCTTTGCGACAACGGCAGCGTCCCTGATCTTCGATCGTTGGCTAAGTTCAACTCCAATTTCTTGCAACTTGCGTGTATAGATACTCCTAGATATGCCTCTCGTACAGCGACGTTGAAACGCTGACCGCATGCTTTCCTGCCTGGCAAGTCAAGTCTCTGAGCGTAGTTTAGGGCAGAAGGACACGGAATCGAGAGGTCGGCCACGGAGCCGGATGTTTCTTTCTTCTTCACTACTCTCATTTACGGTGTACGCTCCCCAAACGCTCGTTTCCCTGCTCAGCTCTGGAACTATGATCGATTCATTCATATTGATTGACCCGACCTATACACTAGCTGGTACATTCGATGATGTTTTCGTTCCGTTGAGGGAATGCGGATCAGAACCAATCAAGTTTCTCATATAAAATCTCGGCACAGGCGTCAGTCGAATCTAGCCAGCATTAGCTCCGTTTGACTCGATTTTCGGCGTTTAATAATAACGACGCTCTCAGCAAACACGAATATGGGGGTGTTACGCCGTCGTTCTGACTCTTCACTCCCATGTTGTTCCATCAGGAGCATGACGTTCTCGAGATCGCTGAAGAGTTGGGCGAGATGGTGTGCCCTGTGACCTCTCTACGTCGATATGACCCTTGTAGAATTGGTGAGATCCTGAGTCGTAAAGTCCTGTAGAGCTCACGAAGAATCTGATTACTGATAGGACACGCCCTGGTGGTCAAGCCTTCGATGACCGCTTCTGTCTCCACAAGTCGAAGCGCCCCTATTTCAAGTCATGAATGTGAGACAAAGCGCATCTTGGTACTCCGTGAAACTTCATATGAGTCGTAACCTTGATTATGGCTCGATCTTGCGAATCCCGGCTTTGCTCGCATGTCTGTCCTTCAATCTAGTATACTCCATCTGTAAGATATCGTTGAATAGCTCGTTTATATACATAAACATCAGGCTAATTGGGCAGAGTTGCAATGCGTCTAAGTCTCCCTTTTTGTATAGCAGACACTGTCCGCTGTTTCACTGGAGTGTACTTTGTCATTTCACATGTAGCGGCTGAAGAGTCGAGCCAGAGTTCTAATAATTGCGTGCGTTCTTCCAGTGTTCCGGTTACCTGTCGAGACCGTGCGTGTAATTCTTCAGCGACTTGGGCGGTCGGACTTCGAAGATGAGACTGAAGTACAACGGATCCATCCGTTGCGTTGATAAGTAGGCAGAAGGACATGGCAATCGAAGAGTATCGAGAGAAGCATGGTATAACTTCTCATGCTCATTCGGATGCAGTAACTGTTCCATCTGGACGCTCGGAGGCAGGTCATCTTGGTCTTGTAAGCTAGCATAGCTTCGGCGGCATTGCGATGCTCCCGCCAGCCTCTGCTGCTTCAGCTAATACGCTTGCTCTTCGCTCCTTGAAGATTTCTCATAAAGAAGATAAAGCGAAATTTTGTCCTAACTCCGAAAAATAGCTAGATGAGATAAGTAAACTTCTGATATCAGTGAAGGCTCAACGTGCGAACTTCTTGGGAATGACCTTAATCTAGGTCGATCTAGAGATAAGAAAGTCTACCGAACAGTACTATAGCAGACACCCAAGCTGTGTGCTGTCGGAGGGTCACCTACAGTGCAATATTTTCTGCCGGTTTCCTGCGGGCCACTCGAGCGATGGGAATACTTGAAATACTTAAGGTGAAATTCTTTCTGTGTGCGAATTTTCACGAAATTGGAAAATCAAAAAGATGCTGATTTTTTCTTCGAAATGGCTCAGAGGCTAATTGTCAATGGGAGGTCTAATATGGAGCACCGACGAATAGTACCACCAACCCATGACCAAGCGTAGCCATTTGAAAATTCAACAACGCTAACCCTAACCACCGATGCTGTGTTGCCGAATGCTTTTATGCAAACTTCCACACGCTCTTTCGACATAGCATGACATCATACGAAAACTTTCAATTTGACCAAACTTCACGTTGTTTTCTGAGCACTGTACGAAGACCTTCATCAAGTAAGCACCCATGAATGAGACACATACGTGATGTGCCGTAAAACTGCAGTTTCTGACGCAATTCTTTCCACTCCTTTTTTTGCATTTCAAAAGGCATTAGGAACCTATGAATCATAGTTCGGTGTTAGTGTACAATCGCCCTTATACAATGCCAAAAAACCTTTTTAGAAAACGCTTCCACCCTTAAATACCCATCGTAAGTGAATCAAAGCAAAGAAGAAAACAGGAAAGGAATCCAAAAATCAGAAATTCCCCTTCGTTAGTCGCTCACAGCCAGCGGTGTCGAAAGAATACGTTGCCCAGAAATGTCCAAAACCGGAATCGCCCAGTAAATGTCTCTGTCTGTGACATCAACAGCCACCGCCTCAAAACGTTACCATTGAGAAGTCTACCTTCGCTATTTTTTCTATTTATCTTGTGCACTTCCGTCTTATAAATCTCCATTATTCACTAGAACGGAATACAGCGGTAATGTTGAACTTCATTGTTTGAAATTGCTAAACAATTCCCCTACGACCTCACAAAACAACAAGCTTAACATCTAGAGTCAAATAGGTCACGGATCAACACTATATTAATGTTCATCAATTTTCAATCTTCGCTAAGTGCTGACATTTCTGTACATCTCTGTTCAAACATTGAATAGGATATTCCTTCAAGTGATAGAGAAATCCGTCCGAATGAGGCAATGCCTCGAGGCTCCAGCTTATTGTAGCGCAACCTATGCCAGACTGAGGAGAGCTTATATTTCGATCAGCGAATTGTCGACGCTCAGTGGAAGGGATATGCCGCTGTTATGGCCCAAAGTCTGTATGGATGACAGCATGAAACAAGTCTAAATTTGCAAACAACATCCGTTTGATTTTACTGATATGCTGTTTATATGGCTATCAGGTGCGCTCTATGCGTTGGTGGGATCAGGGCTTAGTCTGTATCATCACGAATCGCCACGTTGGCGAAGTTCCCCCTAATGAACTAATGTGCTTCCATCACCAAAAACATAATTGGCTACAATTTAATCCCAGAAGAATGCCTGACTCAGTGTTTTTTATTCTCTTTGATGACAGACAGTAACTATTTCCATGGATTTCTCTTTTTTCATCTATTGCGACTCACATCCTCTCTACCGACGCCTGTATTTCAATCGTTTCAAAACGGAAATCGTTTGTCACGAACCGCAGAGTAATGCTGCAAAGACTCACACAGATCTGTACACTTTGAATCCGACGCCTTGTTCGTCTATGTCTAGCGCAATCCCGCTTGCGCGATGTCGCAGCGTGCCAAGCCCGGACAGCCATTAAATCCTTGCGCACCCCTCCAGTTGTCGGCCAACACGCCGCAGCCAGCTCAGTTCCCTGCGAAACTTTGCTTTTTTTAAGCGGATAAGGGATAATTAGCAGTAATGATGTTTCCTTTACGACTTCAATTGAATATGTTTTCCTTTATTCACTGCCTTTTCTGTGGTAGGTACAATTTTTCACGACCACTTCATCTTTTACCGTATATTAATTATTTATTCATATTTTGTTATATTTATCTATTATTTTGAATACTGTTGACACACTCAGTATGTTAATCGCTAAGTATATATGTGTGTTAGCCTGTGTGTTTTTATCTGCGAATTCAATTAGCGCCGGACAGGCGGACGTTCAGTCTTGCTTTTTAGGGTAGAGA